CAATCAAACACAGCAAATTGAAGTTTCTACTATAAATCTCTCCAATATAGTTCTAACTATTTTGATAAACACATTGCAGTAATTATGCATGGAAAATCTTGTCGGGAAATCAGCTACAATGAGCTGCAGTAAGATTAAGAAAAGATTCGAGTTTAATCCATATTTCCGGATATTAATTGGGCTTAAGAACAAGGAAAGAAAATCCGCCGCTAATTATTTTGACAAAAACATTATCACTGTCTTTGCGCGAATGGGAATATGTGAACTCATAAATCATTTCCCGCCGCGGTTTCAGAACATTAGGAGCTGACAGTGTCATCCAGATTTAAATTCTTGTATTTATTCGCATCACAATTTGTATTTCTATATTTTTAAACCCTAAAAAGATGGTGGGTAGCCAACCTTATAACCCCACAGGATCCGCCCTTGTTTTCCTTTTTCACCGGAAGAAATAGCGCACTTTAAAGGTTGTAAATTTGATTTAAATATGATGTAAGTGTCCAAAATTCTGTAAATTTTATGTAAAGTTTTGACACTTACATCATATTTACATCAAATTTACAACCTTTAAAGTGCGCGATTTATTTCCAGTGTTTGTTCCATGACCTATAGTAAATCTTAAAGTAAATTCTTTCAATTTATAGTTTTTGCTTTGAAGTATCAAAATGCATATATATTTGATGGCCATAAAGTCAGAGAAAGTTGGTCCAGAATCATCAGTTACTGAAAGATAGCCGGCCCAACACTCAATCACAGAGAGAAGTTTGCAATCTTTCGCCTTTGTTTGTCYGAGTCGTCATTTATCAAAATCACTCTTCGACGTTCGACAAATGTCAAAATATGTATTATTATAATAAATGTTATCGCTAAGTACAAAGACATGAGACTTAAATACAAAATGATTGGAATTTAATTACGGTGTTTTAACAATCATAACTTTCCTTGAAAGGAAGCCGGTTTTGAGTTGCCGTCACATCGTTAAAAATAAAACTAATAAATTAAAAAAATAAATAAAAAAATAAATAAAAAATAAAAACTTGGAATTTGAATTTTGAAGATAATTTTAGAAAGTTAAGTTTTGAGAAGGATTTTAGTGAATTCAAATATTACTCTAAAAACGCATTACATTTTACGTATAACGAAGTATTTACACATCTTTGATCACCAGTTGTATTGCCCCATAGAATGTAACACATTATTTACATAAATAAATGAATATAAAAATAGCACTGAAAACTTCATTAAAATATCAAAGCGGTTTCTTGAATAGAAAACAGATATGACATTGAACAAAGTATATAGCAAAAAATCCAAGACGTTTGTTATTTTCATGTTATTTTACGGAAATTAAGTAAAGAAATTGGTGTTCAAGGTTTAATATAGTACATCTGTTAAAAATCATGTAGACATCCTAAGCATACAAGACTTATAGTTAGATCTACTACAGCAAAATGTTTATTAAATACGTGGGTTTTCTGTTCGCGGTATCTTTCTATTCATTAAAGAAGACAAACTGGGCAAAGGGCCATCGGTWGGTGGGGGCAGCGGAAGTCCTTCGTAAGGTTCCTCGTACACGTCATCCTTRTTCCCGCGCAAACTTTCTTTTTTGTGTTTCTTACGATGGCTTACGCGAGACGACTTTAATGATTTCTGATTGGATAATATTGATGGATGACTTGAGTGCGTGTTCTGTTGCTGTAAGTTTCTCACCAAGACATCGATCATTTGCTTCATTTCAGCGATTTCTTGMCGCATTTCCATCACATTTTTTTCGTGTCGTTCTCCAGCACTTGCCAATTCGTCCCGCAGTCTAAAAAATATAACAGTTATAAAATGCGTTAATAGGTTATCCTCATAGAAGGCATATCAAGCTCATGTTTACTGGAATTTATGCCAATATTCATAAACATCATTTAAATCTATCTTTTTATGCATAAACTGCGTACATGAGATTTACAATCAACTTTCGCCCTGCGGACACCCCGATATTACGGATACCTCGTTAATACGGACACTTAAAATAAATCCAAGCCCCATAGAAATGACTGAAAATACGACTTCCAAATTATTAAAACCGAATTATCCTAAAGGTGTACGTTATCACGAGAGTTGACTGTATTGTTGCTGTATGCCTGGTGCCATTTCGGCGAATTTCATCGAGTTGGTCGATGAGATAAAACAAACTGATAGCTGTCTCTAGTACGACTAGTATCACAAAAGAATACCGACGAAAATATACCTCATGACTTCCTTGCTTGCTGTATCACTTGATTGTGATTTAGTATTTCCTGACTCTTTTACAATATCGAAAACATCGTCAACAACGTCTTTTATCTGATGTGTCATTCGTTCGAGTTCTCCTGACTCGGGCGTTGTTGAATCATCGTCGTAATAAAGCTCCTACAGAAAYATAAAAAAGAAGAATTAATCAGGCTGTATCTTGTTCAGTATTGGTCGTATTTGAGGTGACCTGCATGGTGTTCAAACATCAAGTAGACTATGGCATAAAAATATAAATAGTAGTCTTGCTGACATTTTTTKCATTCATTGCAACAAATTTCAGATTACCCCGGGCCCCTACTCAATCTTGTCTTATGAAGGGAATTCATTCATTCATGTATATGACCAATCTTTCACACAGTATTCAAAAGGAGGGCGGAAGGAGGTTGTATAGAGATAATCTAGTAAAATTATACAAAGCTAGGAAATAGGAGGGCCTCATGCCTTTTCTGAAACATTTCYTTAGTTATATTTAGGTTATTTTTGACWCAAATAGGGGAAGMGGGAGCAMCKGCCCCACTTTGTCTCCCTTKWTTCGCTATTCTATCACAAAACRCCAGTCTCCTAAAACACCAGTCTTYTTTACATAGTTATGAGTATGGCCACTTGCATAAAGATAAACAAAGGCACAACTTCTCAGTAAAAATTGAGTAAAAATTAAGCTAAAATTCCTGAAATAACATGAAGGAAAAGATTTATAAAAATTGACAGAAACATAAATGTCATACCTCGGGGGCAAGTCGTGTGTGAAATTGTCGCCGATAAGCATCTCTTGTAGATTCACTCATACTTTCCTCCATGTTAAGTATAAGGCTTGCACGTTGCATTTCAGCATTTGCAATGGCATTATCATATACCCTTTGAAAGGTATCTGACATAAGTGCAATGAATAGATTCAGCAATATGACTCCAGACACGGCAATGTATGTGCCAGACAGTAACTGGGCCATAAGAATATCATACTGCATCATGGCATCGTAAGGAAAATTCCCGACGTATGTCATCTGCCAAACGGAATACATTAGATCGTTAAAGTTTTGCAGTTCTGAAAGCCCCTTACTTGCCATAGCATTGTGTCCAAACACGATCCAAAAAGCACAGACATACGGGAAGTAAAACTCAAAATACAGGAAACCGAATTTGAGAGTATCTTTGATGATATGACCGATCATCACAATAAAAGGACCAATTGATGATATTGCACGAAACGCTTTCATTAGCCTCAGCCAAATGAATATGATACCAACAGCAAATACWCGTGGATGGGCTTCCTTTGCAGTCCTATCATCCAATCCTACGACAAGTCCACGAGTTACCGCGATACCAACCACCCAACCGTAGGTCACCCAATCAAAGTAGTTCCATCCATCAGTGAARTAYGAGATTCCAGACTCTGATATTTCCCTCAGTTCCATTTCCAGGTATTTTCTTTCTGACGGCCAGCGCGGATGGCAGAACTGAAGATCTTTTTGAAGCTCTCTTATTCTCCAGCGTTGCCATTTGCGGTGCGAAGAACTGGACTGACGGAATTCCAGGAATTCTTCCAAGATAAAGTAYAATGTCATGCTGCATACAATGCCTTCCATGACAATCCTCCACCAATATTTTCTGGGAGGGAAGTAGTACTGTGATTCTCTTCCGATGTGCAGAGTAATAGCCARAGCTGTCCAGGTCAACACGTAAATTATTTGKACAATGAGCTGCCAGGCAGCGGCTCGTCGACCAAACTGTTTCCACTTGACATCAATGAGACGTCGGAAGACTGGGTGCATAATGAGTTCCATCTGTTTAAAGTGTACTAGACACTGTAATGGTGTTTTAGCGTGCCATTCAGCAGCTGCAAATAATGGTAATATATATCAAAGCATGATTATCATGATAATCATCAATGATCACATCATAATGAATCTATCAGTCACTGATTTTAACGATAATGGCAGTTTTACAACACAAGGAAGATTGGCAGTGTTCATGACAACAATAAAACTTTTGATAGCATGTTTCCCCTAACTGTTATTAGCAAAGAAAACAAGATGAAGTTTATCTAGTTTAGAAAAGAAGGCATGGAAAAAGGCACATGAGAAACAACATCTTTCATCTATGTACTTCAAACTCCGTGCATCATAATTTCAGACCTATCAAACCTGGGACTTAGTGCCTTTTACATTTAAACAGGACTGGCCAGCAGTCAAGATTTTTCAGTTATTTTCCAAGTTTTCCATTGTACAAATGAATGAAATTTAGAAATGGATTCTTCTGACATAAAAGGAATGATTAATAAAATAATTCTCTTTCTGACAAATTAAAATTAGCCCCATTAGTTAATCTACTTATTGAGAAAGAGTTTGTATTAGCTACCTTTGCCTGGTTTATATGGTTCCATGTAGTTTAAGTAGTAATACTGTCGCCTATTTGCACGGTCTGTTGAATGGAACTGGTCCAAGGCATCCTTAGCAACTGGAGTCATTTTRGATATCATCATGGACAACGCAAGGCTACCACTGTGGTCTTGAACTCCAGCATGTGCACCTTGCTCAATGAGTAGCTTTGCAGTTTCAGAACGATCTAGTCACATAAGAGCAATGTTACTATGAGCAATGGGTCATTCTGAAAGATTAGTTAATGTGCCTAAAACTGTTGCATTGAAGTAGGTTAAATGGTAAGCCTGAAAACATAGCTTCCTTTTTTCGCATTATCTTGTAAAATAACTATTGTTCTTTGTCCAAACAGGACTGTATTAGTACAATAATAAGAATAGTTTATGAGCTCAAAACAAATCACAAAAGAGAACATTTTAAGAAAATTTCAAAATGCACACATCACTGTTTGAGCAAATTTATGAAAGTTACTCATGGTATGTCCTCTTATTTACCAAGACAATTTGCCTCATCAACTATCAAAATTGTTGCTCATCCATCAAGTGGATAAGCAAGAATTTTGATAAGATGGCACAAATTGTCAATAAAAGGACATTCCATGAGAAACTGTAATCATAAATTTGATTTTTATCACAAAAAAAGAACAATCTCGCAATAATGGTACCAGTATGTACTTTTATTTACCATGTCTCTTGACCAGTCAGAAATTTAGAAAATTTTCAATTGTGGTAAAAATTGTATTTACCTAATTCAGCTGCAACTTGCAGAGGTGTTCTCCCTTTGTAGTCTCTACTATCAACTCTTCCACCAAGCTTCAGCAACTTCTTCAAAGACTTTGGTGCATCGTTTTTAGCTGCGTAATGCACTGGGGTTTGCAATTCATTTTTGGTTTCAGCATGGATGTAAGCTTTTAAGGTAAATTTTGAAAATATAAATAAATGAAGACATTCTCAAACTAAATTGGAATGATTATAAAAAAAATATAAAGCATGGTGGCAGTGCAGCATTTTATCATAATAGGAGGGAGAGGCAATTCTATTTACCTATTAGGGAATAGGGTTGGACTTCAACAAGTATTCAACCACATAAAATACAAATAGAAATATATATATAAACCAAAATAAGAACAAATATCAAATATATAAATAAAAAGATAATATAAACTAAACTGCACATAAATAAGCCAAAAATTGCACAACTAAATCAATCAATCAATCAATCAATCAATCAACCAATCAGTCAGTCAGTCATTCAATCAGTTAGTCGGTCATTTGCATTTTGTTAGCGTGCTATTCGACACTACATGTATGTCATCACCTCATAAGTGGCTATTACCTTTATGTTCAACCAGGAAGCCAACCATTTCTGGATAATCTACTGCTGCGGCAATGTGTAAAGGAGTTCGTCCATAAAAATCAGCAATGTTTACATCTCCGCCATTCTCCAGAACAAATTTTGCCACATCAACGTCCCAAATTCTTGCAACCTCATGGAATATGGTTTGACCATGTCTGTCGGTAAAATTTATATCTGCTCCACGCGAAAGCATTTCCATAATGAAGTCAAAATCGATCTCTTGCGGTTCATCTAAGCTAGCTTTTGCAAGCTTGGCAAAGTAAATTATCAAAGCTCTACTACTGATTAAGGCTTGATTGGCCTCCTCGATAGTGTTGACAAAAGAATCGTATTGAGAGTCAGAGAAATTTTCTTTGCCAAGAACGTCGACATCACTGTCCAGAACACACTGAGCATTTCTTTTGCCTTGCTCTTTGTYTTCATGAATTCCACCATCGGATGACAGCTGGACTCCACCGCGGTTACGGTCTCGCATGGAGTTCCTATAAGCTCGCCATCGTGACAAGGAGSTGACTTGCTTCCCTAACATTTGCCAAGATGACGACKTTTTTCTSGTATCTGGTCTAAAGTTCTCATAGTGGTTGACTTCTCTCATCTCGTGTGATTCGTCCAGTTCGCTGTAACCACCGGGATAGACTTTCGAGTGCCTGGATATTTTCAACATACTTTTAATCTCTTAAATACTCTTGTAAACATATAAAAACTCTAGATAAACATCGCATGTACATATCTAACGGGAGTCTGTAAACATAGCGCTTTGATTGATTTACAAAGTGAACGAAGTGTCACGCTGTTGTGTCGGTATTCACGTGGTTGCTATGCCAACGATATTTATTGTCTGGTGACATATTGTTCCGATGGTCATTTGCAAGCTTAATTGCATAAAATAATAATTMGACTAAAATAGTATTTGAAATAATTAAGATGCATGAAATGGAATCTAACGTAGTTGAAAAATAACCAAAGACCTTATATTTGATTATTTAATTAAAATCGATTAATCAAGTGTGAAATCACGAAGGGATATCCTTACCCTCCCCTCCCTAGCATTAAAATATATCTCGACTAGTACAAAAAAGCAATTTTTTCTATTGTGCTAAAAAGTATTGAAAGGTCGTAAAAAGGCAATCGGAATTTCGTTCCAATGTCAAAAGTTATTTCTTCATCAGTTTTGAGTTAGAAGTCAGTCAACTTAATAGTGAGTAGYGGTTTGTTTAGATAGCGCTAGCGTGCCGAAAACTAAAGAAAACTTTCTCCAATTACATATAAACGGCTTAAATAAGCTTACCTTTGAACAGTTATATAAATACTTTACAGAGCTGTTCGATGTGCACAAGTAATGGAGTTTTCTTTCAGTCGGATTTAAAATCAACTTATTAAAGCAAGATACCGTGCGCTTGTTTCTACACATTCGTGTTTCTCGTGGTCATGTTGACTCTGTGTACTTTTTACCAAAAGAAATAACAATAGAAATGCTGTTTTTCACTACGCGTGGCTTGCAAATGAGTTGCAATGGTCAACACGTGCTCAGCAACTGTCAAAGATACCTGTACAATCAGTTGTTGTTGTTTTGTTAAGAAAAACAAAACCTTTTACATTCATCACAAATGCATGGGTGAGTTGTGTAGACATGGCGTTTTGGTTGAATGGCTTTATAAACGTTTTGCAGGTTAAGGAGTTATAAATTAGCCATTAAGCGACTGTAAAAATAACATTAAAAAGATTAAACACTATATAAAGAATTGTACAGATTACATTTAGTAATCTGGTTTAGGATCGATTTCAAACTGTGAGATGTTCACGATATTGGGTCGTATCGGAATAAACGGTGTGTGACATTCCAGGATGGAAAGCTTTGATGCAAAATCGTTCTCCAAATAATAGACTTACAATTGTCGGATTCCGCGCCGAATTAACGCAATCTCTTATGATACTTTTAATTACTTATATAACTCAATGTTTGTGTTATATCAAGAGAATAATGAGATAAACAGTGTTAAGTTTCTTTTTTGGATSCTATCTTAGCACTTAGCATGCCTTTCTAAAACTGAGCCGAATTGACACCAGAAATACCACGTGAAAGGGCTTTGCAAATCTTCAAATGCTATTCGAATTCACCTGTACAAAGCAAAGAATAAGTGTTTGAAGAAGCTTTCACTTCAACCTGCATTCATTTTGGTTATTACTAGTGCGCGCCTTGATAACGACTTCGACTACTTCGGCTTATTGAAGTTTCCTATAGACAATTTTAAAACACGCTTTATTACAAAGTTTGTTTCAGTCAACATGTGGACATATAACTACAAAAGGCTCACGCTACTAAAGTTACTGAATAATAAGCTCCCCGATTCATTTGGCGCGCTGTTTCTTTTTACTATTCTCTTGTTGTTGGTTGTGGTCCGTTCTGCACGTGTAGGCGCACCATGTGGTGAACTCTTGGCCAATGTTGTGCATCAATGGAAAAGCGCGCGAAAATATGAACTGAACGACTAAGAAAACGGATTTCAATGCTTTAAAATGAAACAATGGTCGCGTTTGGTACCAAACAAAAAAAATCAAACTAAAATGCACTAAGCTCATAAACGAAATACAGAGCAAAGACTAAAGCCGACACAAGAGTTATGAAGAGAGAGGTCGAAATAACCATCGTATAGATATTAAATATTGATACACCTAGAACGCTCTCATTGCAATGCTTTCTTTTGTGTCCATTTCAGACCTAAATAATTAGATTTTAGGTATAATGATTTAACACAAATGAAAAATATCTATTATAGTATATTGAGATCAATCTGCAACTCGTACCAAATATGTAGTAAATCAAGAGGTTTAGGGTTAGGTTTTCAGTATGATAAAATCATTAGTCATCGTTTATTTTTTGATCAGAMTGAAGACAAGTAATTTGTTTTTTGAAAAAAAGGTAAACAACAAGTCCAATTTTTTGATAGATTTTTTATTAGAAACTTTGCATTTTGGTTGTCTTACCCATTATTGTCAAGTTACTGGTACCAAATTTACCTTGAACTAATTACCATAACAAGAAATGCTACTACTACTACTTCAATTCTACCTATTTCAAGCAAAATGATGCCTACCAAATTATATTCTACACATTTTCATGTCAAACTACTTGTAGGGGATCYGCATCGACAACAGAAACAGCTACATCCACTTCATCATCAAGCAAAGACTCTAGTTTACCTTTAAAAACCTTTAGGAATCCTCTCTCAGTATTGCTATGTTCACAGAGAATAACATGAGTTCCTTTAGAGAGAGCATCTAAAACCTCATGATGCGACATTTCACCAGTTAGAAAAACATCAGCCTTCACTCCTTTGAGAACACTGRCACCAGAACCTGCACAAAGTGCAACGGTCATTATTTTATCAGCATTACCTGCATTGCTGGTAGCAAGACGCACATGTTCAATGTTAAGGTGGGCTTTGACTCGTTTGACAAGTTCTTCTAAAGACACAGGATTACTCAGAGCACAGAGCCGACCTGACCCTGTATTTGGTATAGGAACCTGTGGTGGAAAAATATTATCATAAGCAAGATTAGTAGCCTCTCTCACAGGTGTTCTTAGTCGCGCCACGAAAATTCACTCGCCACAAACGCCTGTGAGAGAGGCCACAAGATTAGTAAATTTATTGTGTTATTTCATTTGAAATGTCTTGTCACCACCACTTGTTTTTTTCCTTTTCTATTTCTTTTTTTCCTTTTCTTTCCTTTTCTTTCCTTTCCTTTCAATTTTCACCAACTTCATTGGTGCAAATAACCTGCTTCATTGAGCTAAGTTAAGCTTCTTGCAGTCAAACCAGTGGTTACTCTTTTTTCACTGAAGTCAAATGGATTGATGGAAAGCTGAGAGAGAACTCATGAGATATTGCTTCAATTTCATTTTTGTGCTTTCATGGACACATTGCTACTAAAAAAAGTGAAGGAAAGGACTGGCTATGACTCTGTCAGAAATTTAATAGTCTCCTTCATGGTTACGTTCGCCATCTTGAAAGGTAGCCATGCCTTTGCACCGAAGCGAGACAACGGTTGAGCGTGCAATGACAGATACCTGTGAATAATTGTCTGTAGGTGTGAAAGAAGGTTTCTATCATGATATCATTGCACGCTCAACGGTTGTCTCGCTTCGATGAAAAGGCACGGCTACCTATCAAGATGGCGCAGGTAACTGTGAAGGAGACTATTCATTTCAAGACATCACCACTCACTTACATGAAAATACTTCTTTCAAATTATCATGTTTTTATAATTGTCCAACTTGTAATCCAAATAATGGTTCCTTACCTTTGATAAAGGGTTTACTACAACATTGATAACATTGACTTGATCTCTGATGGTAGAAAGACTTGGCAAGACAGCACTGTCAGAGCAGCACCAAGCTACAGTGTTAAAAACTTTATCATCATAGCTGAAAGATGAAAAACTATGACTTCATAAAAAATCATRATTAAAATGATAAGTTATACCCACAAAAGGAGTGGAGAGAGGTATGGTTGGATGGGGGGAGGGGTGTAGTGGTGTATAGATGGAGCCCCAGGCAGAGGTGTGTTACTTGGACCTCAAATCACTGCAGATCGACATGCCCTATGCAAACCTAAAGCTTACTCAGTCTAGACTCATTTTTATTATAGCCTTATCCTAAACATAAGCCATACCCTATCCACCACAAAATGTCAAAATTTGATAATCGTCTCCACAAAYAAGGTCTAAAACTTGTACCCTATCTAACAGGATAATACTACCCAACCCTTCTCAAGCCTCTGCACCCCTGCTTTGCCCAAGTATCATTCCTATACCTTGTTGTCTTATCCATAGAGAAATCACTGACATGACCAGTATTGTTCATCGATTCTTTGATTTTTAAAGCATCTTCTACAGTTAGTGCATCAACTGTCACTGTYACTCTACTTGTACATCCTTTGACACTCTCCATGGCTTGGTGCAAAGGTTTTACAGTAGCCTTGCCAAGCCCTGAAGCCAGCCAGTCATTAACGCCATTATGGACTGCATCAAAYGCAGTATGCGGGGAATATATTGCTATCCTGTGTTCAATAGCCTTAACAATAATTCTCTCTTTGAATGATCTTAAAGTTAATCTTTTCAAGGGAACAAAGATAGGGGGATGGTAAGATATCAACATCTGGACTTTCTTTTCAACCGCTTCATCGAGAACCTCTTCTGTTAAATCGTTTGTTAGAAGTATGGATTTTACTTTGTGMTCGCCCGAAGGTTCAACAAGAAGACCAACGTTGTCCCACTGCTCCGCAAGGGATGTTGGCGCAAATCTCTCGATGGTTGAAACAACATCTTGTAAATCCATCCTAAAACAACTTGAAAGAGAGAAACGCTTTCTTGAAACAAAAGCGCATTGAATTCGACAAGCAAATGATCTAAAGCTAAACATTAGACGATGTACTACAGAACCATGTTTTTCATCATTTGGCGGCCATTTTGGATCAGCTGAGTGCCTGCAATGTTAATGTACAGCCGTGTTACATAGTTTCATTCAAAACAAAATGGCGGGCAAAATGGTAGTTGCCGAAGAAAAATATGGATCCGGGTCCTTAGAGAGATCTTATACTTTTACTACTGAAAGTGGAAAGTTGGAGAGAGTTAAAGGCGCTAAGGATGCATATGGCACCTCCATCCTGCATTTCTTCAAGGTTTGGTTAGCTAAAAAATATTTATTTTGATTTTTATGACACGTAGCAGGTCTCACTGATGCCTATCATGTCCTTTAACTTACATCAGCTTTTCAAAAGTATTGTTGTTTTGTTTTCTGTCTTCAAGACTGCATTTTTACCTCAAGGCTATCCTGACAGCGTAAGCAAAGACTATTTAGAATATCAAATTTGGGACACTTCACAGGTAATGAAAGTGATGAATAAATATCAGTAAGCTTATCAAATGAATGACCATGGATGAATACTGAATGAATATGTAAATGAATTACACTGTAATAGTTTTCTAATTAACTTGTTGATGATTTTTATGTTGAATTTATTTGTATTTTGATAAGGGTTTTTTATCTTTAGGCTTTCTGTTCATCTATCACTGGTACACTAGCCACTCAGGCAATGCTGAAAGGTTATGGTGTTGGAGATGACAAAGCTACTATACTGGCTGCTACTATAACTTGGTTATTGCGCAGTTAGTATTTTTATATGCATGTACATGACATGTACAAGATAACAGATTTGTGTACATCGGTTAAAGTGCTTGTTCTTATGATTATTTCAACCAAATATTTCTTCAGATTTGTCTGAATTTTTTATTCATAGCTATTAATGAATTAGCTGGCTAAACATTTTTCAACTCTCTTTTAGTTTTCCTCCAATATTAGTTCTCTATGATATTCTTTTCTAAATTTGGAAATGTTCTTGAATTTTCTGCAGATGGTTCAGGAATGGTTGGAAGCATTCTCTTTGCCTGGATGCAAGGGTTTGTGGTTTATATGTTTTACAAATTCACAAAGAGTTTTATTGGCTTTTAACTATATTTACATTGGGAGTTTAAAGCATCAAGTAGTATTATCTTTGATTAACTGATTAGTTTATATAATGGTACTTTTGTATCATGTCACTAARTTACACTTTTGTAGGTGATTTTTAGTTGTAATTACAAGAAGCTTTATTTTTCAGGAGTAACTTGGATTGTTATGCAAAGAAATGGAGGTAAAGAAGTCCAACTCAAGTCCAACTTGAGCTTCTGTCCACCCACTTATTATTATTATTATAATAAATTAGTGTTTTCTAATAAATTTCAGATTATTTGCTGATATACTTAATGATGCCTCCATATTTGTTGAACTTCTCTCACCTTACTTTAAACCTTACTTTATTTTCTTTGCCTGCATATCAAGTATTGCCAAGGTGAGAATCAATATATACTGCTAAACGAAAATAAACAAYACTAAAATGCTGAGTGAGTACAGATAGTTTCCATAACTTTTATTTATGATCAGCACACAAGGCTGTACAATCCATGATATTAAAAGCACTTTTACAATGGTAATATGACTAATTGGCCTGGCAAGTACTTGGTCTCTTAGTCCAATGCTTCAGACACCAAGATTTACTTTCCAGGGGAAGTATAATTGAATGAGTGTTGGGCTTGGGGCTAGGGTATTTTTAGACAATTATTTATAAATAGTTATATAGTTTTAATCTTGTTCTTATCTTTATGATTCTTGATTTGTTTAAAGTCAGTAGTGGGTGTGGCAGGAGGGGCAACAAGGGCTGCCTTAACACAGCATCAAGCAAGAAGAGATAATATGGCTGATGTTGCAGCAAAAGATGGGAGTCAGGTTTGTGTAGATGGTATCAGTTTAAACTAACAAGTGCTTTTTGTAACAAGAATTTATAAGTTGTGTAAGTTACTAAAAATAGATAATATTCTAAGACTAGTTGAAATTTTGAGCCAACCAAAAATTCTAAAAGTATTTGGAAATTTAAAACAAAAGAKAATTTAGTATTACACAGTGGAAAGTCCTTTTGTTGGCTGCTGTCAACAGTGTCTTGTGGTCTTGTGACCAGTTTTATTTTTTGTTATTATAGGAAACTCTGGTGAACCTCTTGGCACTACTTGCTGGTCTTGTTATTACACCATTGGTGTCTGGAAATATAATGTAAGTAAAGATGCTAGTCTTACTATTTTGGGCTTCCTGAGGGTACAGGAAGCCCAAGAGAAGTTCAGGCTGAAAAGGGAGGTAGGGTTGTTGTACGTATTCCATATATGGTATTAACTAACAAGCGTATAGAGGCCCCTAACAAGCGAATAGAAGCATCTAACAAGYGAATAGCGGCCCCTAAGAAATCCCAATTTACCGGTGCTATTAGCAATGCAAAATACTTTAAATGTCACAAACAATTCGTTGTTTGCCAGCGTAATCTCTCGTGGTCAAGTTAGTTAAGGCGCTTTACATTTGTAGTCGAAGGGTTAGGTTTAGGGAACAGGACGGGTCAGCCTATAAAATGTTAAATTCATACTTCTAAATTAAAATTTGATAAGAAAATTTTTAATAAGTTAAGGCGTAGCTAAAAAGCTCGAATAGTTCTATAAAAAACTGTAGAAAAATATACAAGTGAAAAAAAGTATGGACCCCTGTTCGCTTGTTAGGTGCTTCTATTCGCTTGTTAGTTTGTGCTATATATGGAATACGYACTACAAATCCGCCTCTGAAAAGGAGACTAAATGAATGCTTGCTTTTATATTAGTGCCATGATCTTGCGAGTTGTGATATTATATAACAAAATAATTGTGTTTTTCTTTTCCTTTTTAGATTAACATGGACATTATTCTTCATCTTTACATTTTTGCATCTTTATTTCAACTTCCGAGCAGTGTCATCAGTTGTTATGGAGACTCTTAATATCACTCGACTTCACATTCTGGTCCAGGATTATTTACTCAATGACAGGATATTGACACCAGATGAAGTAGCTAAGCGAGAACCTGTATTATTTGGTAAAACTAAAAACATTTATTAATATTACAATGATAATAATAGTTTGATATTATCATTTTAATACTTCAAAATAATATATGAGATTGAAGTGTACTCTAATGAAATTATCTTTGTTGATTGATTTGATTTTAAGGATCATCAATAGGTGAATGTCTTGAAATCAGACTGGGTACCCAGTTTGGTAATGTTATTCACAAGTAAGTACTTTGTAATATAGGTTAATCTTATATATTTTTTCCCATGGGGTACTCCCTCCCAACTTGGGTGGGGGTGTTCCACTGGGACCTCAAAACCCTGACCCTGTTCCCAAGTGAAATCGCCGAAAATGATACCCTGTTCCAGAGTAAAATCCAGCACTAGCCGGCGTGTAGACCAATTTTTAGTGCTAGGCAACTTCAAAAAATATTAGCGTTGATATCCCATAATTTCTGCAAGATATTTTATATATACTTGGAATGTGAATCAAAATGATCATAATTTCTGCAACAATGAATCAAAAATGATCATAATATTGCTGTACTGACATAACAAACATAGTTACTAAAAACCTTTTTTAAGGAGTATATATCAATGGAATTTGTATGATCTTGAGAAGTGGCAACTGACAGTATTGTGTATGTTGTAGTTCAGGTTCAATATGATTTTGAACCAGTTCAATTTCTTTTGAACTGGTTCAGTGTATTTTGAGCCAGTCCAATATAACTCAATCCAGTTACAAATCAGTTTAGGGCTAGGATTAGGGATAGGATTAGGGTTAGGTTTAGGGTTAGGTTTAGGGTTGGGAATAGGGTTGAGCATGCATTGTATGAAAAATTTCTTCATTAATAAATTACAATTAAGATAAAAACAATTTGCAAACATTACTACCAACAAAATCCTTGATGGTATAATTGGTAGTACTGTGGACTATGAAGCAAGAGTTCAGTGGTTCAAACCCTGATGAAGGTAAGTGTTATTCATAAATTAAGAATATAGAAAATATCAATATTTCTGTGGGGTATAGGGTAAGATAAAGTAGGAAATAGTAGAAGGTAGAAAATAAGATGATAGATAGAAAATGGGAGAGAATGAGATGGGATATAGTTCTTTTAGTTCTTTTAAGAATGTCAAAGCAAAAAAAAGGACCAGTACAAGGTGTCTTGTACTGGAACAAATTAGATTAAGTAACAATGCGCGCAAAAAGCTGGCAAACTTCTATTGTTCTGCGGCAATTGCAACTTYCYMACATACGAATGTCTTGGTTTTCACACTGATTATATATCAACCTATGCGTAACACATTTTTAAAATAAAATGTGGATAAACTCTGTTTTGAAACAAAGTTTCTTTTGTATTAAAAGATCTTGTCCAATCATAAGCACTCAAAACAATGAGCCAAAAGATGCTTCTAATTTGCTATGTTCCCCACATAGAATTCCTATTAATATTAAAGCTAAGGAAAGCTTTTATAAAGTTAGAATCAGATATTAAATAAAATATTAAAAAATGCGATTACTTTTGAAATTATGTCAAATTTTAATGTTTTAACCAATGAGATGGATGGATTATACAATACACAATTARCACMTTMMWGCATTCCATTGCCGTTYGCYTGCCTGCTTCTTACTCGGACCATTACTTAAACTGGTTCAAAAATATATTGAACCTGAACTACAACATGTACATTGAGAAGGTTAATAAGTGAAAGAGGTGCAGGGGTGGTTCCAGGATTTCAAGAACACTCCCTTCAGTTAGCAGACAAAGTGATTGATATTTGAGACTTTATTTGCCAAAACAAAAGGGTTTATTTCCAACATTTTAACCAATCTAATCCAATAACTTCATACTGATACAGGTTATTTAACATTTCAGTGTTCAGGATTTTGAGTCAGCTTTGCCCAACTCACCTAGCTGTACATATATAATGAGAGTGGACTTGAATAATTCATGCACATCAGGTATACCGCAGTATATATACAGTAAAAAATTATTAGGTTTACAAGACCCAATACTGATCTTGACTTGATTAAGAATCATAGTAAAACAATTAAAGTAGTGTGGCAGAGGTTTGAACATCCCTTGATTGGGATACATAGTCTTTTGAAAAATGATTGAGTAACCTTATTTTATTGAATGTTTTGTTATAATAGGTACAGCAAATATTGTCCTTCATGAGTCCTCAGATGTGTTAGACCACATTAAGAGCTGTTTCCATGCTGCAGTTGTTGATTTTATTCTACGCAACAATTCATTAAACAAGGTAATGCAGGAGGAGGGGGTAACAGAATGATGCCATATTACCCTGCGAGCAGAGGAATTTTTCCACTATCTACGAAAGGAAAAGGAGTTGGAACAATCCTCTGTTTGCAGGGTAATGCCATATATATATATATATATATAAAAAATTAAAACACTTTCATAAAATCTGGAGGTTGAGGGGGGTTCCCCACTGATAACTAGTGGGGCTTCCTTTCACCTTTCATCCTCTTGGATGAATCTTTTCAAACTGACATGCTTGATAGGTAKTTTTATATGCCTAGAGAGTGTGGCAAGGTGACAAAGGTGACTTGCGTAGCAGCACTTGGGGGACTGGGGAGAGGAAAAAGGGGGAAGCCAGGCCTAGCACATATGGGAGAATACCCGCACACCTATTGCTCTAAAATGAATTTGCTTATTATATGTTTTTAAAGGAATTAGCAAGTCAAAAGCCTGGCTGTCAAGCATTACTGGCACTTCATAGTTTTTGGTGGCAAGGTAAGCAGACTTTTTGATTAGAGTATTTTTCACTATTTTATTCCATTCAAAGCTTTTCATATAGTATAGTTCTAAGTCTAAACAACTCTTCTAAAATAACTCTTCGATCCCCTGACTGTTGAAAGATGTCATTATGTTAATCAATGCAAYGAAAGTTGTAGTTTACTGTCCTTTGAATACATGGATATGAATGATATCTCCGTTGGTGCAGCGAATAGGTTGGTAATTTTGGAGAAAACAGGTTCTTAATTGCAGACAGGGGGATACAGTTGTTATTGTTTTTGCATATACAGCCTTTTGCAAAAATTATGAGAATTGTCTAAATACAGCTGTTTGCAATAATTCTGACCCCCTCTGCCATATTTCATATATATCAAACTGACCTTAAATATTATGGGATATCATGACTGATATATTTTTTGAGTTGCCCAGAATGAGTACTTTCTCAAAAAAATATCAGCATTGGTATCCCATAATTTCTAAGGCTACTTTGATATATATGAATATTAGTGTAGGGGGGTCAGAATTATTGCAAATAGCTGTAT